AGTCGAGTCCAGTCCGGGGGCGAGCCTTGAGGCAGTCCAGTCTTGGGCGAGTCTTGGTTCAGCCTTGTAAGAGTCTTGGGGACTTTTCCCCAGGGCGCTGTGTCTTATAGAGTGCTCCAAAAGATCGACTAAGACGAGAGTTGAAACGTATTTCGTTGTGTGTGCCTTATTTGACTGTAAAGTTAAAGTGACTTTCCCGATCCCGTACCTCAAGGGGACGAGATAGAGAGACGAGACGAGTTTCCCCCCTGACACGTGTGGAGGACCCTATGGAGGAAGAGAATTTCCCCCTGATATTATAATAATTATTGCATGATGTGATTAACAAATTTTACATTCATGATTTTAAATAACCAATCACATTTTATGATTTTACAAATTCGTTATGTTTGGTTATTGGAATAGATTTAGTGTTATCCCAGAGAGCGATAACCAGAAAATATAAATTAAGGCGGAAAATTTATCCCAACTTTAACGCCATGGTGTTAAAGTAAAAATTCAATATCAATGACTATACTAATTCACGTCATTCCTGTTTAGTACTTGACACGCAGCAATAAAAGACAAATTATTTTCAACAAGTATTATACATGTACTTCTTTTAAACGTCACAGTCTTCCAAAGGCGCGTTTTAATTGCGTGTAAAAATACATGGGTTGTACACGCCGCGTGGTACGAAATGTCGAGCCCATGGCGCATTCATCGTTCTTTTCATCAGCCACAGTGAGTCTACATGTTGTGTAAACGAATTATAAAAACACATATTGGTCACAAAATTCTACGTTGGGTAAATCGTTGTCGCACAGCGCGCGTGCAATGTCGGGTAAACGCGCGTTTTATACGTCGCATGGGACCCAGGCCGAACACGACGCGTTGCGAAGACTGTAGCGCTTTAACCATACAATGCCACGAAATATATGTATCCATGGTTCCAGAAAATAAATTATTTTCGATACACGTTAAAGGGCGGTGGTCTCGCGCTGCGCATGTGCGACATATGTGTTGATAAACATTGATTTTCCCACAATCCAATGCGCTCTTCTAATGAAATAAAAAGTATGAGGTTTGACCTGGGCGCGACTTTCACTAATTACCGCTGATGACTCCTTCGATACCTTCCAATCACCTAAAAAACCTAATTGAAGCTACGTAACGTCTCAGTTTGTACTCGTTGATATCGCCATCTTTGTTTATATAAGACCCATATATCTCGCGCATGCGTGGCGCGACGACTACTGCCCTTTAAGTAACAGTGAGGGTGACTAAACCAGAGACCTAGTAAGTATTTAAAGATGTCCGTGCTTGATATCTTATTTCTATTCAACCCTCAACCTCACACCACTAATTCTTTAGTGGTGTGATTTGTGTGATTCGACGCACACCTTGGTAACGTAACTTGTGTCGCATATTATTCCAGGGAAGATGATTGACGTAAGGCGTATTGTTTGTTTCAGAGTATAACAGAGCCATGTGTTGCCAGCCCGTGTTTCAATGGCGGCATATGCATAGAAGACTGTGACGTCAACGGGTACATATGTATTTGTCAATCTGGCTACACGGGAAGTAACTGCCAACACAGTCTTCAATCAGGTCGGTTGATGAATATATTACCACTAATACGCTAACATTTGTTTATATTACTACAAACCCGCCAACATTTTTTTTTCTTTAGTCCAGACTTTTTTTATTCCTTGTTTCTCGAGTTTTTATAAGACAATTATTTTGAGGAGGGCGGAATGAAAATAAAATTAAATTTTTGTTCCCATTAGATTTGTGTGATTCTCAAAGAATTGTAAGTGAGATCGTTGATCGGAGAGAAGAAATGAAATAAAATTGTATTCAATGTATAACCTTGTTTCTCGTCTGCGCGATACTTCGGGACTTTGATCATGATACTCCCACGAAAATGCAACTTAGGTTTGTTATGCGGCGGGCGGAAAAAAATGAAAAATAAAATAAGTTTTTTTAAGCATTTTTTTGCACTTACAAGTCGGCGGGCGCGAGAAATTACGCTGAAATAAAATTATATTTTTATTCATTTTCGGCTCCTGTTCATTCGGCGGGTTCGCGAAACAAGGGATAATAAAAGTCTGGCCTTAATTTCATTATTCATTTTAAAAAATATGAACATTAGTTCATCTTGTCCCTTGCCTACAATTTGGAGAGGGGTAATATACAACATCATCGATAGAGGTAGACGTCTGAGCTAATTGGGAATTAGATGTTAATTAACAAAAAAAATGTTAAAGTTATCACTTTAAAAGTATTGAATGATCAATGAGCAAATAGAAAAAAACCTACTATAGACCATTTGTGTTTATGTAACTTGACCTCTGTTCGGCAAAGCAACTTCTTGCTGACTCTCTCAATAACATGTATACTGTTTTCGCATCATGGTGTGTTTGTGGGTGGAAACGACATAGTTGTGGTAGCATATGATAAAATCACGAGATCGAATACAAGATGCTGACCTAAAATGTGACGTTTATCTAAAACATCACCGACCGACCTCCCCCCCGAAACAAATGCGCGACCGCTTGCGCCTACAATGGTTGGTGAGCAGACCCCCTCCCCCTCCCCCATGCATAATTTCGTGCCGCCGCCTTTGGCGTTGTTTTTAAACATGTACCATCGGCAAGTATACAGTATACATCGGCAAATTGTGTTTATACCACAAATATTTCGAGTTTTCAAATGTTCTACAAACTTTATCGTGATTGAACTGTCCAAGTATGACGTGTAACTTCGTCGGTGTATACAAACAATGGACAAACGACCCGGATGTACAGGTCACACCTGATACATAAATGCATGTATCATAACTGGCCATTTCTTCTCGTTGCATTCCCTTACCAATAACCTGCTTACCCCGGTCAGTAGAGTCCTCTTTTAAAAAATGATAATCGAGTTGCATTCTCACGTCCATCACAGGAGAACAACTCCGGTCTGAATCCTGTCTGACTAACAAGGAAATCAGGGCGGTTTTCGACAAAGAAACTGTCCGCTAAATCGATATTATTTGTATTAGCATTGTTATATTATTATTTTTGTGCCAATCTTTGATTGTTCCCAATATAGGACGTCTGTATTAAAAGAAATCCAATATTTTTGTTGGCATATGTGAGTGAAGATTCACTGTCATAGTCGCTCTGACGTCAATGGATCTGTCATGATCGCGATAGTGCTTGAAGAGAGCATGGCTGTACAACAAATTAAAATATGCAAATGTCGGTTGTAATAATCAGAGTGCCTGCAGGATTCACCTATCACGGTGTCATCTTGAACACGACTGCAAAATGCTATGATAATAATAAAATTAAATTACAAAAAAAAAAAAAACATATTAGTCTTGATATCTCGATCTTACAAATTGTAAATGATATACATCTATTCCCTGCATTGTCTAGATAGTTAACAGTACACGTTAACTAGTCATAGCGTTGCTAAGAGCGCATGACCGCTCATGATTCGTAGGCCAGTCGTGATACTTTCTTTTTTCTGAAATATTATATTACATTGCACACCGTGTACATCATGTGATGAATTCAGATTCACTTAAATTCAGTGATGAGGCATGATTGGCGAGACACGCATCAAGTCGTTCTGTTTACGCTCCATCGTAAATGCTTAAACTCATAGTTGCTGTCGACATAGGAAGTAAAGTAAGCAAAAAAGAATGATTATAACAATCAAATTACGCGACATTAGAAAACAAGTAATCATTCTCGTATTTACTATAATTAGACATAGTCTTTACCTTGCCGTTTATTCGGTGTTATTTGCTTACTATCGTAAATGCTTGATGTCAATAGCGGCGTTTTTGTACTAGTAAGTGAAATTGAAATTAGTATCCACAACACGCTTGTTTTCAGTACAGCAAGCACGCTCTAATGCTGAGATGAATACATCGACCAATGATACTCTTAAGCACAGCAAATGTATTCTCTTCATCTTTATAAATATTTATAAAATTCACAATTCAAACTGAAACGAGAGGTGGAATAATATTGTAGCATTTTCAAATGACGCACTGCGCTCGTTGATTGCTGGTGGAGTAAACTGCCATGGGAATTTATTATTTTTTTAATGAAAAAAATGGGTTTGTTATTTTGATAGTACTAAATGGCATTATAACAAATATGCAGTGTTATACTACTCGGGGCAGTAGGCATTATATAACATATCTGTA